GATTCGGGGCTCCGGCGCCTCCGGGGGGCGGCGGCGGCCGCTCCCCCGCCCCCCTCTCCTCTTCCCGGCTTCAGTCCCCGCCGCGACGGCGGCGGCGGCGGCCCCGACCCCCCCGGAGGGCGGCCCCCATCCCCCCCTTTTCCCCCCAACCTGGCCCCGATCGCCCGCCTGCTCCCGGAGCGGACCCCAATCCCCGTTCGCGTTTAGCCCCTCCCCAGGCCCGCCACCTCCCCCCGGCCGCCCGGAATGCCCGGGCCGCGCCGCCCGCCCCCGCCGCGCCGCTCGCCCCCGCGGCCCGGCCGGCCTCCGCGCGGCTCTGACCCGCCGCCTCCCCCCGCCTCCCGCGCCCGCGCCCGCCCCGCGCAGCCCGCACTCGCGCGATCCCCGGCCCCCTAGGCGGCCTCCGCCCGCGGCCCCCGCCCCTTCCCGGGCGGTCGTCCCCGCCTCGCCCCCTCCTAGCCCCTCTTCAAAGCCAGCGGTCCCCCCCTAAATGGGTCCCGGCCCGAGGCCCCGGCCCGACGCGGGGCTGCGGGCGGGCTGGGCGGCGCGTCCGGCGACTCGCACAGGAAAGCGGACGGCGAAGGGAGGGAGCTTGGGAGAGGGGGATGGGAGAAGGGAGGAAGAGGGAGAAGGAGGGAGCGCGGAGGAACGGAGGAGAGAGGGGCCAGGAGGGAGACGCGAGGGAGGGAGCGCGAGGCAAGCTGCGAGGGGGGAGAGAGGGGGATCCGGAGAGGGGGAGGCGCTGTGCGAGTTGGCCGAGGCCGGCCGAGGGGGCTGGGGCGCGGGGAGGGGTTCGCCGAGGCGGAATGTGGGGAACCGGAGAGGGCTAGGTAGGAGGGGCTGCCGGTTGTGAGGGCAGAGAAGGGGGAGACTGGAGAAGTTTGGGGGCAGGGGGGTCTGAGGCAGAGAGGAAGTGGGAGGTTGTGGGTGTGTGGCAGAGATTGGTCTAATGGGGGTACATTGCGAAAATGGAGCTACGTGGGGGCTTTGGGGGCAGTGAGGTATGTGACAGGGAGGGGTGACTAAAGCTTAGGGTGACAGCGTCTGTGGCAGACACGTAGCGGGAGAGGCGGGGGCGATGATGAGGGAGAATGGGATGGAAGCTTGGGGTCATGGGGAGGGGAAGAAATTGAAAAGATGTAGACATATATATGTGGATGGGGTTTCTGGATGAGAGGAGTTTGGAGGTGACTGGTGTTGGGAAAAGAATAGGGAACGTAAGAATTGGAGGGGGGGTGATGGAAACCTGGAGAGAGTCCAGAGATGTCAGCATGGAGAGAAGGGGAAAGGTGAGGAACCTTAAAAAGGGATTAAGGAGGTGGGGCCAGAGGCATATTCTAGGAGACCTGGGGGTGCTGGGTGGGAAAGGAGTGAGGAGATAGGGGGAGGGCTGGATTCTGGAGGTGGGGGTTTCCAAGAGAACTGAGGAGGGTTTAGACAAAGGTAGATAGAATGGGGTTGGGGAGGCAGGGGAAGTGGGTAATGAAGATTGGAAGGAAATGTAAGATAAACAAGGCCTTTGGTGGCAGCATGGAGGAGGGAGGTCAGAGATGGGAAAGACAAGAGTGGAGATGGGAAGGGAAAGCAGTAGAAGGAAATGATGGAAGTGGGAGAGGGCAAGCCCCCCGTGTAGGGAAGGGATTAATTTATAGGAGTGGGACACCATCTTCAGGCCCTTCTGTCTGGTGATGTCTCCATTTTCCTTCTCAAACCTGTTCGAAGTCATCACAGACAGTACTCTGGGCCACAGGGAAGGGTCCGGTGGGGATTAGGCTCAAGGTGGAGCCAAATCCCTAGGTGCCCTAGTTCCCCAATCCCAGTCCTTCTACTATGGAGTCGATCCCCACCCTACCCCGAGACCACAGGTTCTTCCTTCAACCCTCCCCGCTCTCCAGAAAGCCAGATTGTCAGCCAGCCAGCCATTTCCAGTCTTCAGCCTGAAGCCAGCACCCCCGCCAGTCCACCACCAGTGTCTTCTTCTGGGCTGTCTCCCTGGCCCCACACCAAGCAGCAACGTCTCCCAGGACAAAGGACACCAAGACACTGGGTGATTTTTGGCAGCTGAGATTGGGAAGGCCAGAGAATGGGAGGGAGGCAGGCTGGGAAACTGGAAGAGCTGGAGCTGGAGCCTGGATTGGGAGCCCTTACTTAGCTCTCCAGATTGGGGGTGGGAGTAGGGCATGTTGGGGCCAAGCCAGCTAGAGGCCAAGGATGGGCCCCGAATGCAGGATCCCACCCAGGCTTCTGGGAAAGAAGGAGGTTGGATTTGTGGCAACTCAGTGAGTTTTGCTTCATTATTTTCTTGGGCCAGGCTCAGCCAAGTTCTGGGACTACCCAAAAGCTCTAACAGATTCTAAAGCACTGGAGAACCCGAGCAAGAAGGCTTCCTTGGCCTAGCAATGAATCACCACTCTTTGTAGCCTGTGAATTGGTTGGCCACGCACTTTTCTACCCCATGCCCACCTTTTTTTATCCCTCGGGGCCTTCCAGAGACCTGGTCAGCTCCCTGTCCCCCTCTCCCTGGTGATCCCTGCCCTCCCTCCCTCAGTGCCCTAGAATGGCCCCTGCTCCTTCTCCCCACCCCCGCAACTTTGTTCCAAGACTCCTCCTCCTCACTCCCCATTGCATTTCCTCTCCTTCTGCACTTCTCAGTTCAGTCGCCCACTGGGGCCCCAGGCCCAGGCCCTTTCCAGCTCCCTTCTAGGCTAAGCTGCTCTCTCTGTTTTTTTAACCACTGAGGGATGGGCTAGGATGGTGACATCCCTGAACCTAAAAGAAAAATTTAGGCAGAGGTAGGAACAGAAGATAAGGAGAGTCAGAGAAGCCAGGGCCTACCCCCTCCAATGCCTCCCCGACCTGAGGACCAGGCTCACCATTCGGCTTTGGGGTGCATCACACACACACCCCACCATCCCACACCCCAGCTCCCTTTATGGCCCCAGCCCCCCACAACCCACTGGTCTCTAGGCAACGGCACAAAGAGAAAGTGGAGAGAGGGGCCTGGGAGGCCCAGACAGAACTATAGCTATAACCCAATCCAAGCCAGTACCTGGGGGGCAAGGGGTGGGGTGGGCATGGCTGCCAGAGAAGGCCATCTAGCAAGGAGGGAGGAAAGGGCAGAGGTTAGGAAATGTGGCTCCAACCAAACAGTCTTGGTCAGTCCAGGAGTTGGGAGAAGAAAGATGGCTATCGTGGACCCCAGAGAAAACAGAGAGGCCCAGAGAAAAGTACAGTGTGCCCCAAGGGGAATGGAAAGGGGTGCCAGGAGACAGGAGACAAGGGAAAGATTAGATGCCCACACTGAAATTAAGAGGCATAGAGGAGCAGGGGCAAGAAGCTCTTTGAACTGAAAATGGCTGAAGTGTCAGTGACACAGGAAGAGCAGGGAACTGAGTCCTGCCCATACAGGACGCAAATCCTCTTCTAGTCCTGGAGCTGGGCAGGGTGGCAGAGAGCCCAGGACCAGAACTCAGTAGAAACAGTTGAGGAGGCCCACAGAGGGGACAACCTTGAAATTCCTCCCATCCTGCCCTTAGCTTGGGGTGAGTCTGGTGTCCCGCGGAACCTTGCTTCCCTCTAGTGGCCACAGCTCCCCACGTATAGCCCCTACCTGCTGGGCTCTGCTCTGTATCCCAGTCCTATGAGAGAGGGCCCCCCCCAGGGGGGGTTCTTGGGCCCCCATATCAAAGTCAGTTGGGGTCCACTGGAGCTGAAGAGCGATGGTGGGTCTCCAGCCGTGCACGGGGGCCCTACTCACAGGCCAACCCAGCACTTGCGGTACCGACTCTCCAGTTTTCTTGGAAGATTCCATTTCCTCAGACCCTAATCTATGTCCCCTGGTTCCACTCTTCGCTCCCTGGTTCCCCATCTTGCAGGAGGGGATGCCCGTGCAGTGCTGCTACAGCCCAGAATGGTCAAGACAGTGTTGGGGAGAGGCCTACACGGGGGCTGCTCCAGTTCACAGCTTTATCCCCTCTTTAGTCAAGGCCCTACAGGAATCTGAGAACCCTTTGAACCCCTCTTCCTAAAAATGCACACACACACAAAATCTTTGACACTTCTAGGAATTCTCAGACTCCAGGCTGAGGTCCCGGGGCCAGGCCTGCTGCTGAGAAGGCAGGGGCAACAGGGTCCCCCACCTGGCCAGGGAGGGGTAGGCAATGCCAGCGACTTAGCCATACTTGTTCGGCTTCTTCCTTTTTTTGTGTCCTCCCCAGCTCTGCCATCCAGGTTCACCAACTTCCTGGTGCTCCATCTCTCCCCTCACACGGACTAGAGTAAGACTCTTCAGACACAACAACGCACTGTGATTCAGACTTTAATGGTGGTGCTCATTTCCACACCACAGAGGGGGTGGCAACTGTGGAGCGTGGCACAGGGGAGTGAGCCATTGCTCTGGTGCAGCTGGAGGAAGAACAGGGGAGCCGGGGGCTGAGGAGAGAGTTAGGGGGAAGCGTCCCCGGGCACACAGCCCCGCCTCTGGACCGAGCGGCTTCGGTTAAGGGCTGGTAGACGCAAGGGAGCTGATGGGCAAGGCCCTTTTCTGTTACCCTTCCTGTTCCAGCAAGAGCTCCCAGCCCCAGGCCATCTCCGATCTCCGGCCACGTCACACACACACACACACACACACACACACACACACGCACGCACTTCCGGTCAGGCCAGGTTTAAACTCCGGAGTTATGGAGAAATGATGAATTAATTAAGACGAATAAACAATAAATAACTGAATAAATAATCCACTAAAGGCCCGGGCCAGGCATGCGCACACAGCCAGCACGCCCCTCCACCTCGGCGCGCAGCTCGTGCGCAACACGGAAAACAGACACACGGCACCCCGCCCCCCTGCCCCGGACACACCTCGCCAACCAACCCTGATGCACCTGTCCCAGGCCCTGACTGTTCTTCCATGGACTCCCTTGTAATCCTCAGTCCCATGGCCAGTGTTTAAGGAGACAGAATAGAAAGGACAGAGAAGTGGAGAGTGTGGAACCCAAAGAGGGGAGAGCACACAGCAGGGGCTGGACAAGCCAAGGAACAGCGCAGCAGGTCGGCTGGGGCGGCGGGGGGGGGGGGGGGGGGGGCAGGGTGAGATGTCACAGAGCAGGACAGGAAGAAAGAGGTTCCGGGAGGATGGGAGAGGGGTTCCAAGTCTCCGGGCAAGGAGAGGGATCACAGCACGCTGGGATTGCGGAAATTATGTCCGGCGAAGCGGGCTTCGTCCCCCAGCTCTTCTTCAATTCTGAGAGAGAGGAGCCAGAGAGGAAAGAGTCAGGGAAGCGGGGAGGATCCTGCTTCTCTTTCCGGGAGGCACCTATTCTCCAAACCCGTCACACCAGCTGCTTCGATGTCCTGGCCCAAGCGTGGGCATGCCCTGGCTTTCCCATGTGACCTATGGGAGCCCTGGATCAGGCCATCGGTAAAGCCATCATTCAAAAACAAGTATTTTCTGGATAGCTACTGTTTTCCAGGCCCTGGTTATCGGAAATGGGATGGTGGGCCAACAGAGCTTTTAACCCTCTGGGCCCTGGGCTCCTATCCCCCAGGTGTCCTCACCTCATGAGCTGGTTGTACTTAGCCAGACGCTCCGAACGGCATGGGGCTCCAGTCTTGATCTGAAACATGCCCAAAAATAAGCAGCTCAGTGGCTGCCCCTTCATCTCCTAAAAGAAAACTTACACTCCCTTGACATTCTCCTGACACCCGCAAACACCCGGCAAGAGAGACCCACCCACCTGACCAGAACCCACCAATTGCACAAAGATCTCCCTTGCACTCACCTGGCCTGTGCACAGCCCCACCACCAGGTCGGCGATGAATGTGTCCTCGGTCTCTCCTGAGCGATGACTCACCATGACCCCCCAGCCATTCTCCTGGGCCAGCTTGCACCTGCAGCCACACACCAGCACTGACCCCCAGCCCCTCATACCGGGCACTCCCTTCCCAGCCCCCACATTGGTCTATGTTGAGAAACACCTGGCACGAAGCTCCCTGGGAGGGGCAAAGGGCATGGGGTGAAGGGGGGGCAGAGCCAAAAGAGCCGGGAAAGTGACGCAGGTTCCCTGCTCTCTTCAGCATCTGTGCCAAGACGAGGCTGGGAGCACTTGCCGGAGGTGTCCTGTAGAAACGGGCTGGGTCGGGGAGAGCCAGGGGACACTCACGCTTGGATAGCTTCAGTCACTGAACCAATCTGGTTGACCTTGAGCAGCAGACAGTTGCAGGCCCCTTCCTCCACTGCCCGCTCGATACGCTTTGGGTTGGTCACTGTCAGGTCATCACCCACAATCTGGATCCCTACATTGGCTGTGAACTTCGACCAGGCAGCCCAATCATCCTGGTCAAAGGGGTCCTCAATGGAGACCACTAGAGGGAGAGCAGGAGGGGCTGCTGACCCTCCCTGGGGCTCTGCATCAGGCAGGAACACCTCCTGGGTGGACAGATCCCCTGGCTAACTAAGCCTGCCCATCCTTTCTTCCCTGCCTCCAAGATAAGCCTGCCCCGATTCTTATCTCGGTTCTTTCAGAAAACCTACCAGGGGCGCCTGGGTGGCTCAGTAGGTTGAATGTCTTGACTCTTGGTTTCGGCTCAGGTCATGATCTTGGGGTTGTGGGATTGAGCCCTGCGTCAAGCTCCACACTCAGCCTGGAGTCAGCTTGGGATTCTTTCCCCCTCCCTCCCCATCTGCTCCCGCTGCCCCCCCCACCATGCTCTCTCCCTCTCAAATAAATAAAATCTTAAAAAGAAAGGGAAAAAGAAAATCTTCCAAAAACCAAGGGTTCACAGTCTTTCTCAAAACTACTTTTGCATTTTCCCACTTTCACTACTGGGAGGCCTTTCCTCAGTGCTATTCTACATCCTATTTATATGCTATTCTGCACTTAAATCTACTTTCTCTTGCTCTGTCTCAGGGAAATGGAAACCAGCTTCCTCCATACAGGGGTCCCAGCCCTTGGTAAACTTGGAGAGGGTAATTCGGCTCCTCATCAGCCTTCCTGTTCTACTCCCACAGCGCTTGCAGCTCCACTCAGCATCCACAACTTCATCAGTCAAAAACACTGATATGTACAAGTTCCCTGCTGGGCCCCATCACTCTCTCACCATCACTGCTTCCTTCCAAAGCCCTCCCCGTGATCCCCGTAGCTTTGGAACACACAACCTTAATTAGGACAGAAGTAGATAAAACAGATTCACCATGGGTACCTGTACATTTAAACTACCTACAAAGCTTGTCTCTGCAGGAGGCTCCTCCCCCCGCCCCGCCACCTCCCCCACTCCCCCGTCCCATCCTGATTCTCAGGCTCTTCTTAGACCTCTACCTGGCACCTGAGTCAGCACCCCACATGGTCCAGAGTTGCCCCACACGCCCCTGCCTGTCCCTTGACCCTCGCGCTGCCCTCCCTCCCACACCCCTTGTTCTCACCAGGATAGTCCCTGACAAAGTCCTGGTAGAGGGCCCCTAGCTGGTCCCCAGTGATGTATCGGGAAGGATCAGCAGGAGACTTGAAGTCCAAGTCGTATTTGCCATCGCGATGAAACTCCGAGGCAGCGACATCCATGCCAATGACAATCTTTTCTGTGTAGCCAGCCTTGTCGATGGCTTCCTTCACCAGCTCCAAGGCTGGGGATGGAATACAGTGAGATTACCAGCAGGAAGGGTGGGCAAAGAGGGAGGAGAGTAAGAAAGAAATTCAGAGCCCAGGCGGAGGGCGGTTGCTGGGGAGAAGCCTGACTACAGTTGCTGGTGGGGTTTTCCCCAGGGCTGGGAAGAGCAGACCATCTTCCAAGAGGACAGAGGAATGCAATTCTGTTCATAACAGGTTGTCCGCAAATAGCTATCATTTGTTGAGGCCTAACTGTCACCTAAGTACAATGATGCTAAGAGGTAGATACTGTTATTATTCCCATTTTACAGATAAGAGAAACAAGCACAGAGACGTTAAGTAAGAAAGATCACCAGCCAGTAACTCTTCAAGTCAAGGTTCAAATAGAGGCAATTTGGCCCCAGAACCTGAACTCTCAGCCACTTCCTGTTATTGTTTTTATTCACCATACAGCTCCTGCCAAGTCAGAGAAAAATTAGGGATCTTAGAGGCCTGAGAGGTTGGGGTGGAAATGGGATAGACTTAGAATAGAATCCCTAGAGTGTGGTATATCTCACCAAACTGAGAGTCCTATGAAGTTCAAGTCCAAGATGGATCCTACAAGTCACCTAGACCACCTCCCAGTATTACCAGGGGCTACAGTAAGAATGTATAGTTGCTAACAAGGGGCACCTGGGTGGCTCAGTCAGTTAAGTGTCTGCCTTCAGCTCAGGTCATGATCTTGGGGTCCTGGGATCGAGCCCCACGTCCTCAGGTCCCTGCTCTGTGGGGAGTCTGCCTCTCCCTCTCCCTCTGCCCCTCCCACTGCTCATGCATATACTCTCTCTCTCTCAAATAAATAAAATCTTAATATATATATAGTGCTATCAAATCTGGCTGGGCAGGTGAAGACTGTCCTCTTAGGCCTGCATGTGAATGTGGCAGGCCTTCTGGGACCCAGTCCCGGTACTGGTACCTCTTTGAGCTAGCTCAAGGGCCTCCCACCCATACTCCTCAGGAGCTGGTGAAGCGTGTGGCCCTTCCTGATGTCCCAGGACAGAGCGAGACTTAAAGCAGGGAGTGAGGTTCCTGGTCTCACCCTCACTGTTCTCCAGGATGTTGGGGGCAAAGCCACCTTCATCTCCCACATTGGTGGCATCCTTGCCGTACTTGTCCTTGATGACCCCCTTGAGTGTGTGGTAGACCTCTGCCCCAAGTCGCATGGCATCCCGAAAGCTCTCAGCGCCCACTGGGAGGATCATAAATTCCTGCATGGCCAGCTTATTCCCAGCATGAGAGCCACCATTGATCACGTTGAAGGCCTGGGGGCCACAGGACAGAAAAGTCACAGAGCGCTTCCCCCCTCCACCCCCAGGAGCATTAACCCAAGAGCCCAAATCTTCCCCAGCTTCCCAGACTCAAAGTCTCCTGTCCCCATCCTTTCTCTTTAGCTGCCTCAATGCACTTTCCCCCCAACATTCCTCACAAGGTTTCATGCTCCCCACCCCCAACCCCTGGGAGAGGCCCAGGCAGGGCAGACAGGGCTCACCGGCACGGGCAGGATGAGGTCCGAGTTTCCCGCCAGCTGAGCAATGTGGCGATATAGGGGCAACTCCCTCTCGGCCGCCCCTGCCTTACACACGGCCAGGGACACACCCAGGATGGCATTGGCCCCAAACTTGGCTGGAAGATGACAGAGTAAGGCACTGAGCAAAAATGTCCCCTATCTGTTCGAGCCCTGGCCTCCACCTGTACTCCCCAAAAGGAGCCAGTAAAGGAGACCCCCTCCTCCCTCTCCACTCCTGCAACACCTCATCAGTGCTCTCCAGAAAATAGCGGGGACATGCACGCACGCACGCACGACGTGATGGGAAAGGGCAGAGAGCTCCACTTATTTCTAAACATCCTGAGACCACAGACTATCTCTCTTGCCAGCTCGCCCTCTTCGTGCTGCAAAGAAGTTCTTCCTTCTGTCTGATGTCACTCCCTCCCCTGCAGTTAAATTCATCTTCTCTTGGGGAACCTGGGTGGCTCAGTCCTCAGGTCATGATCCCAGGGTCCTGGGATCGAGCCCCGCATCGGGCTCCCTGCTCCGCAGGAAGCCTGCTTCTCCCTCTCCCACTCCCCCTGCTTGGGTTCCCTCTCTCGCTGTGTCTCTCTCTGTCAAATAAATAAATAAAATCTTTAAAAAAAAAATTCATCTTCTCTTATTCTGGCTCTGGGAGGAGAACGGAAGATGGGCTAAGTCCCGACAGTCCTTCCTATGGAAGCTCCCACAGCGCTCCACATTGTCTGCTCCACACGTCCTCCCCCTCCCGCCTCCCCACGTTCTCCCAGGCCCGGCTTACATTTGTTCTCAGTCCCATCCAGCTCCAGCATCAGGTTGTCCAGCTTCTCCTGCTCCACCACAGAGAGACCCTGTGGGCAGAGCCACCATCATCCCAGGCAGAGGCTGGGCCCCAGGGCAGAGGGCCCCACCCAATTCCCACACAGGGTCCCCTCTGGCCAGGGTTCCTGGGAGAGCAGCCGGTCTAGATGAGGGGACCTGAACGCCATGGGAGCAGGGGGCAGTAAAGGAGTCTTCCCACCCTTCCCTTGGTAACCATGATTCCCAAGAGGTGGACTTTCTCCCTTTGCTCCCTCCTCCCCTAATCCAGGATTCCTTCCAAGACCCCGGTCCTGCCCACCAGCACCCCTGCCCGCCCGCCCCCTCCCGGCCCCCAGCAAAGAGTGGGCCTCACTGAGCTGATGAGGGCAGGAGCGATGGTGGTGTTAATGTGGTCCACTGCCTTCAGGACACCTGGGGAGAGGCAAGGAGGCCAGACAGGGTCAGGGTGGAAGACGCCAGAAGTGGGGGGCATGCAAAAAGGGGGCTGAGGACTGGTGTAAGGTATGAGTATAAAGCTGAGGGATGGGAGAGCCCGGAAAAGAGAAAAGGCCTCACCTTTGCCTAAGTAACGCTGTTTGTCCCCATCCCTCAGCTCCAGGGCCTCATAGATACCAGTGGAGGCTCCACTGGGCACCGCAGCCCGGAAAACACCTGGGAGAGGAACATGAAATAAGGGGGGGGGGCATAGAAGGATATTACAGAGCGAGGGATTCCTTCAGCCTTCCCGCTCCAAACTGCCTGCCACATCCTGTCCCATCCCCGCACTGCTAACACACACACACACACACACACACACACACACACACAGAGGCAGATGCCCAGGCAGTGGCCTCCTCATCTGCCCAGCTGAGGTCCCACATGCACAACGAGGAACCCACACACACGAAGCTATGCAGGCAGCACACACATGCACACATGCACGCAGGTGCACACACAGATGTGCAGAGGCACGGTATATCCCATACACTAAAATAGGACACAGAGACTGGCCTATCCTGGCTCCCCTGGACAAAGAGGACCCAACCCCCATAATCCAGGCTTGGAAGCCTGGCCCAGCACCCCATCCCCACTGGGAATGAAGGCAGCTGCCCCTCCGGGGCCAGGGGAAAGCCGGCCCAACGGCTGTGGGAAGCCCCCTGCCCTGGCTCGCTACCTTTGGCAGTGTGGAGATCCACCTCCACCGTGGGATTCCCACGGGAGTCCAGAATCTCCCGGGCCCAGATCTTCTCTATCGACATGATGGCTGAGATCTTGGGTGGAAGGGAAGGAAGGAGAAAGATAAGAGGTTTAGAGAGGCGGAGCCTGATCAGTGGGAGGGGCTAGAGGCTGGGAGCGATGGGAACGAGGTTACTGCAGTGGGTGGGGGTTGGGGAGGAGGTGGCTGCAGTCCTGGCTTTAGAAGGGATCACCCCCACCCCACGGGGAGAGAAGGTCAATGCAGTGAGGAAGGGGAGGTCACTGCAGTGGGGGGAAGGGGAGGATCAAACGGTGAGAAGGGAGGACACCACAGTGAGGAGGGAGGGGCACGGGCAGAGGTTGCGTCGCCCCCCCTCAGTAGCTCCGGCAGCCGACTGGTGGGGTTCCCCCAGATCTCAGAGTGTAATGGCTCCCAGGCTTGCATTTCTCCTTGGAGCCAAGAAGAGGATGGGCTGTCTGGGCAGCTGGGGCCTCTCCTCCGGAGCCCCCATCCCACGCCAACTTAACACCCCAACCCCCACTCCAAGATCCCAGGTCCTCTCTCAAACATACGTCCCTCCTCTTCCCAAGAGATGTACAGTAGAGAAGTCTGGGGCGAGGGTCCTGGGGAAGCCCTCAGTCCCTGGGGGTTGAGCGGGGAAGGAGAAGAGATCTGGGGGGACAGGCAAGGCTGGGCCCATGCTCCCCGCGCCCCCCCCCGCTCCTAGACAAGTTCCCCCCATCCCTCCCCCGTGCAGCCGCGAGAGGTAATGTAAAAGGAGAGAGGCAATGTGGGGGAGGAGTGGGAAAGAAGGGAGTCTAGAAGTCTAGGGATGCTGAGGAATGGGAAGAGAAGACATTTCCCCAGATGCAAAGCCAGGGGACGTGCCAGGATAAAAATGCACCGCCCGGGGAGACCCCGAACTTAACATCGACAGAACCCGAGGCGAAGAGGGGCGTGGGGAGAGGGTCAGGCAAGGGTAGAGAAGGGCGCAGTTAGAGAGAAACAGGTGCGGAGAGGCCTGGCGCCCCAATGAGGAGGGGGCGACAGCCAGAAACCGAGAGGAGCCGTCCCAGAAGGCCGGGGAGGGAGGGTGCCCGGGGGAGGTGCGGATGACGGAGCAGGTGCGCAGCGCCGGGGGGCGAGCGATGAGCGCAGGCCGGGGGAGAGGGCGGGGGGCGCGGCGGCTAGGGGAGGGGGCCGGAGGGGCGCAGGGGCCGGCCGGGGCTTCACCTCGGGGCTGCAGACTCAGCCTGTGGCGGCGGCGGCGGCGGCGGCGGCGGAGCAGAGAGAGCGGGAGTGGTGGTGGCGGCGGCGGCTGCGGCTCCCTGGCGGCGGGCGGGGGGCGGGCGGGGGGAGGCGCCGATAGGGCCGGGCGGGCGCATGTGACCCGGAGCCCCCGATGAGTCAGGAGCCTCCGGCGGAGGAGCACGTAGGAGCGCGGGTGGGGGGCCGATGGGAGGTGGGAGAGTGGGGGGGGCCGGGAGGAGAGCGATGGGGGAGGGGCTGGGGGCGACCCAGGACCTGAGGCCCGGCACCCACGCGCGCTCACACCCACGCCCCGCTCCCCTGGAAAGTAACAGGCACAGCCTCACACCAGTGAAGCCCATGACAGACTTGGACTCTCACAACCCCGATCAGACACAAGAGTATCAAAATGTCTCTTTATTTGAAAACCAAACTGTTCCTAACACACCCAGCCGCCTCCGCAGCTCTTCTGCAGCCAACTCTGCAAGCATCCCCTGGGCCCAACCGGGCCTGATTCCCCTACACCTGCTTGAGGGCGGGCCCCCAACAGCACACACACACACACACACACACAGGCCTGATTCCCCTACACCTGCCTGAGGGCGGCCCCCCACCCCCAGCGGGCGCGCGAGCACACACGCATATACACACACACACACACCCAGGTTCCAGGCAGGGCTCAGGCCCACCCAGACGCTGCCCAGGTGCCCATTACAGAGCCTGGGCGGCAGGCTGTGATGAATTACCAGGTCTGGGGCAAGAGAAGGCATGCTCTGACTCAGGATGAGGGATGTGAATGTGGCAGCACCACTACCTGGAAGTCTTCTCAGGTCTTGGGGCCAGTGTCTTTGACCTCCTGGAGGAAGAGGGCAGAAGTAAAGCCCCTGGGCATTACTGCATTCCCCTTGCTGCCTGTTCCCCTATCCAGAGTGCCCAGCCGCCACACTCCCCTGGGCTGGTCTCCCCAGGCTTCTCTTTCTGCCTTACCCTGCCCTCCTTTCTTCCCCCCCACCCCTGTTTCCCGTTATTTTTAGCTTCAGATTTTTAGTGAAAGATCTTCCTCCCCTGCCTCCTCTTCTAGGCCCCGCTTCCATCCTCAACCACCAGCTCCACCCTCCACCCCCACCTCCCACACCGCACCCCAGACCTGTCCTTTCCAGCTGATCTTCACCGCGTGTCGCCCCACGCCGGCATCTCTGCCTGCCACCCCAATTCTCTTCCGTAGTTTCCTCTCCTAATGTATTCTCCTAAGCCTTTTCTCAGCTCCTCCCAGGCCCTTCTGGTCCTTCCTCCTCACCCTGAGACACCCCCTGACTCCTAAGCCCAGTCTCTCCAAGGGTTCTCCCCGGCGGATCCCTTCCTCCGCCACCTCCTCCTAGAGCAACTTCTCTTGCCCCATCTGACGGGCCCTTGGCCTCCTCTTCCTGCTTCTCTGTCAGCTTCCTTACTGTCCCCGGAGACTCAAAGAGCTACATGGATGGCAGCTCCAGTTTGGAGTCGCGCTCAGCCTCAGCCTCCTGCTCCTGGGCCTCCTTCAACCTCTGACGGATCTCATCAGCTTCGGCCCGCTCCTCCTCCTCGTAGAAATCCTTATCCAGGCGCTCGAGGTGTGCCATCTGCACCAGGGCCTCCTGGCGGTAGTCATTCTCATCTGCGCACGGGTTGTCCAACAGCACCAAGGCCCGCAGCTTGGGCAGGTCCCGGAGCTTGGCTAGCTCCCCGAGGTGGGTCACCATGTTGCCCCTGCCGGGTGTGGTCAGGAGGGATTCACCGCAGGGGAATAATGGGCTTTGGGGGCCCCACTTCCAGGAAGAAGGCCCTTGCGGGAATCTCCTGCTGGGTTCCAGTTTCCCTAGAAACACTGCTCTGTGGGTTGGCTTGCTCAGCACAGCCATATAGCCTAGCCGAGCCAGGGCGGTCCAACCCTACTCCAGTCCTGCCTCTGGCCTTCCAGGACGCCGTGAGGGCCACAGTCTGTCCTGTAACATGCTGGTCCTATTTCTCCTTTTGGAGCAACAAAGCTAGGTCACCAACCCTGTCGTGTAGTTGGAGAGAAGGGGGGACTCCCCCTTGCAGCGTCAAACTTCTTAGGTGTCAGTCCTACCTGATCAAAGGTTAGAAAGGACCACCCAGGCCAGTGGAGAAGGAACTGGGATCTGAGCTCATGGAGGTGGGTGCTAGGTTGGTGCTCCCCTCAGGAAGGAGCCTAGAGCTAGGGATGGTCTGGGGCCTCCGGGCCTGAAGAACAAGCTTCATCTAATGTGCTTCATTGTATAGTATGTTTCTTTTCAGGTTCTTGCCTCATGCCTTTGAAATCAGGTTTAATTGTTTCCGCCTTAGCCTCAGTGGAGGTGACTAAACCTCACACAGAGTTTCTCACTGAGAGCACTCCATGCACTTTGTGCTGGACTGTCCTGTGCATTTCTGGGGGGTGGGGGGTGGGGGCTTAGCATCTTTGGCCCCAGAGGCATTTCCCAGTCATTGAGAAACTTCTCCCCTACCCTTACTTCCAAACAACTCCAGTTAGTAGCCATTGAGGAGTGTCTATTATCTCTGTCTAGACCATTAATAGGAAAAGAGCACCCCCCCCAACCCTACCACACCAACAAGGCAGAACTAATTAGCAAGAGATTTCTCGAGGAGCCATGACAGGAATTGGGAGCTCCAAGGTGCAACCATCTCTCCCTACTTGGAGGTTCTCTTTCCATTACGAGCTTTGAGGATTTGGCCATCTTGACTAAGGAGGCAGTTACCTTACATCTTGCTTAAAGAAACATGCATAAAATCCTCCATCAGACAAGGGTTGCTGAAAGAAACCCCCCCCTCGCCCATCAATCCCCACTGCCTTTCATTCTAGAGATTTTCTTTCAAATACTCTTCTCTCCTCAAATATGAGCACATCTTGCATTTTTCTATCAGTAAGGAAGCCATCCCTTACAGGTGGGGCTCAGGAGAAGAGAGGCAGGAAATGGGAAGGGAAATGGGGGTCCAGGAGATGGAGAAGGGCAGAGGAAATTTACATGGAATAGGACCAAGAAAAGAGAACTGGAGCCAAACTGTGAGTCCCTTGAGAATAGGGACCAACTCTGATTCCTTTAGATGTTCCCAAAATACAGCACCAAGCCTGGCACCTAGCACATTCTCAATAACTGTGGATTGAGTGAATAAAGATTCAGGGGGCCCCAGGCTATATATAGTAAGGAAAGGAGGGGTAAAGACCAGGATGGAGGATGAGGGGAGAGTCTAGGAGCAGACTAGGATTGTGGGGTTGGGGCCAGGGATGAACATGGGGTCCGAAGCTGCTCCTGGTCCAGGGTAGGGACAACGTAGGATGTGGAAGGGTGCACACCTCAGGTTGAGATACTGCAGCGATGTCATTTCCTTGGAGAAGCCACTCAGAGTTTCAATCTGGTTGTCTCGAAGGTGCAACGTAGTGAGATTGCTTAGGTGCTCCAAGCCCTCCACCTTCTTCAGCATGTTCTGGGCCTAGCCCCCAGGATACAGCACACAGATCAGGAGAAGGTAGCAAGGACAGGGAAGAGAAGTCAGAGATGCAGGAAACAGTGAAGATGCAGGAAGAGTGAAGACAGAGGGGTGCAGGAGGGGAGTGGAGGTGGGGAGAGATGGGTGTAGACAGTAAAGAAGTCTAGGAGACGCTACCCGTCCAGAGAAAGGTCAACAGGAACCCCCTGCTGCTCATCCAATGCCTACCAAAGCCACCGCTGATTCAGGAGGAGATGATTCAACCCACCCGAGGCCCATGAGCCCCCACTGCCCCACTGAGGAGAAATGGCTTCAGCGCCATCCTAGAATGAAGAAGCTCAAGAGCCAAAAAGACTTAACATTCAAGTGGCTTCCTTAGCCTGATATCTGTCCCTCATTTACGGCAAATTATGCTACTACCTGTATCAAAGCAAATTGTCTCTATTCCCATGTATTATGTATTATCAGCCCTGTGAGGTAGGAAGGGCTCAATAAATGATACTAAATGCTCATGATGATGATGAGGTTAGTAGCTGAGCCTACGAGAAGCCAGGCACCCTGGCTCCCCGAGCAGTGCCCTCTTGCCGGCACCAACCACCCTCTAACCCATTGAGCTACCAGGAAGAGGTTCTTCAGCTTAGGAAGGTTGATTCCCAAGGTGCTGTCCAGCTGGTTTCCCTGAAGCTCCAGTGTGTGCAGGCTGATCAGCTTTTGGGGGTCCAGACCGGTCACCCTGCGGATGCGGTTCCCTAAGGAGCAGGAGGGTGGTAAGAGCTCAAAGGCTACTCCAAATGTTCAACAGTAGAGCCTGAATGTTGGGAGCCTCTGTATCATCCTCTCCCTCTAATGCGAGGTGGTTATGAGGAGGGACAGCTCCAGACTTGACACCTCTGGGGCCCTAGGGCAAGTGGTCTGGGAGTCCAAGGGCCAAATGGACATGTCCATCCAAGCATCTGAGGAGTGAATGAAGAGTGCCCAGCACCCAACATGCTTAACTCCTTCTCCTCCCTCAAATCTTTGCTCAGATGTCAGCTTTTCACTGATGCTTGTCCTAACCAACCTGTTTGAAGTTACCACCTGTGCCTCTACCTAGTCCCTTTATTCTAATATGTTTTCCACAGCACGTATCTCCTCTTCACATCGTACATAAATTTACTTATTATGTCCATTGGTAGCTGTCTGTCTCCCCCGAATAGAATGTAAACTACATGAGGGGCGCCTGGGTGGCTCAGTCGAAGCATCTGCCTTCAGCTCAGGTCATGATCTCAGGGTCCTGGGATCGAGCCCCAGATCGGGCTCCCTGCTTGGCGGGAAGCCTGCTTCTCCCTCTCCCACTCCCCCTGCTTGTGTTCCCTCTCTGGCTGTGTCTCTCTGTCAAATAAATAAAATAAAATCTTTAAAAAAAAAAAAAAAGAATGTGGGGCGCCTGTGTGGCTCAGTTGGTTAAGCAACTGCCTTCGGCTCAGGTCATGATCTCAGGGTCCTGGGATCGAGCCCCGCATCAGGCTCCCTGTTCGGCGGGAAGCCTGCTTCTCCTTTCCCACTCCCCCTGCTTGTGTTCCCTCTCTCGCTGTCTCTCTCTCTGTCAAATAAATAAATAAAATCTTAAAAAAAAAAGAAAAAAAGAATGTAAACTACATGAGACTAGGGATTTTGTTTTGTTCAGTGCTACATCTCCAGCACATAGAAATGTCATAATGGGGCACCTGGGTGCCTCAGTTGGTTAAGCGACTGCCTTCGGCTCAGGTCATGATCCTGGAGTCCCGGAATCGAGTCCCGCATCAGGCTCCCCGCTCAGCGGGGAGCCTGCTTCTCCCCCTAACCCTCCCCCCTCTCATGTATTCTCTCTCTCTCTCTCTCATTCTCACTCTCTCAAATAAATAATCTTTAAAAAAAAAAAGAAATGTCATAATGAATCATAAGGACCGTCCGAATGAATGACTGAATGAATGAATGGAGATCACTGTGTGGCACAGCCAAAGACCATACCACCCACTTCTGTTGGCCCAAGCTAAGAAGGAGAGAATCTTGTGTAACCTGACCTAAGGACCCACCTTTGAGATCCAGGCTGCCCAGACGAGGGTGAGAGATGCCCTCAGTGTCAGTGATCTGGTTATAGGCAAAACTGGCAATCTGCAGGTAGGGCAGTTCATTCAGGTGGGCGCTCCGCAGATTGTTGCCATCAGCCTTGAGCCAGAGCAGGTGGGTAAGGTAATTGAGTGGGGACAAGTCTGTCAGGTGGTTCTCAGAAACATCCACATAGCGCAGATGGATGTAGGACCGCAACAAGTAGATGTCTGTCAGGTCCCTAGGAGATGGCAGAGGCCAAGAGGTAGGGTTAAGAATCCAGCAAGTAGGGGCACCCGGGTGGCTCAGTCAGTTAAGCGGCTGCCTTCAGCTCGGGTCGAGATCCCAGGGTCCTGGGATCGAGCCCCAAGTTGGGCTCCCGGCTCAACGGAGAGCCTGCTTCTCCCTCTCCCTCTGCCTGCCTCTCTGCCTGCTTGTGCTCTCTCTCTATCAAATAAATTAAAAAAAAAAAAAAAAAGAATCCCGCAAGGAGAGGCAGAGATGCTAAAGCAGAGGGCAATGTGGAGATGGCTTGTAATGGAGAGAAGAATGGGTGATTGATGGGAGTGGTGAGGCAGGGGGAGGAAGGTAGGTGGGTTCTTCACAGGGAGCAGGGACTTCTGTCTGCGAAGAGCTGAGAACTGACCCTCTGAAGGACAAGAGGAGGAGTCCAGTAGGAATCCCCCTGACAGACCCTCACAGCCTCCAGTTCCCCAGGCCAGCTCTGATGCAGGGAGTCACAGGGCTCCTGAAAAGTAAATTCTATCCTTCCCTTCCACTGGCCAAGGTAAGAGAGAGCCAATCCCCCAGCAGCAACAGCCAGGCATGAGGGTGAGAGAGGAGATTGGGCCCTACAACCTCAGCCCTCTTCTGCTCCCCCATTAGCGCACCTCTCTTTAACCTCCAGCTTGACATAAGCGTGAGCCAGTCCATTGCCCGTCTTACAGAGCAAAGAAAGCCCTTCCTTCATCATGTCCTCCGTGAGGGGGGTGGGCATCCACTGCAAGACGAAGTGAAGTCAGGCATCCCTTTCCTGCCCAACCCCCTCCCTAAGCCTTAGGACCCCACTGTTTCCACGCTCTCACTTCCTCTGAGTACTCTTCTCCCTCCTTCCTGGAGTCCTCCCACTCTTCTGTCTCCTTCTCATCATCTTCCTTTTCCAGATCATCCTGGTCTGGCTCGAAGTCTTCCAGCTCTTCATCTGACATCTTTTTCCCTGCTGAAGGCTCTGGAGTGAGAGATCAAGCTCAGTGACCCTCCCAAGAAAGAATGTGTCCTCAGCTCTGGCCAACCCTCAGCTCCCTCTCCTCCATTGACAGGGTACCGTTCCCATCATCCCTGACCTCTTCCCAACCGCGCTTCCCTTCTTAGCCCTGTGAGCATCTCATTTTGACTCCCAGCCTCCACTTCTGACTTCCCACCAAGGACCTCTCTCCCTTCAGGATGCCTTCCCAGGCCTTTCCTGCCCCTCACAGGGGCTCCAACGGTCTTCTAGCGGCTCTACCTCCCTGCTTCCTGGCCTCCCCTCTCCTCAGGTCTTCCCACCTCCCCCTTCAGCCACATTCTCCTACCAACCTCCTACACCCTTCCCCTCCCTGCCACCCCTAACCCCTGCGCCACTTATTTCTTTTCCCTCTCCCACCCTGTCTAGCCCCATTTCCGCGTCCCCTCTGGGGCACCAGACTGACGCCGTCTCCAACCCACCCACCCAGTCCTTCGCAACGGGGCGCAGACCCTGGTTCTGCTCTACTAAAAATGAGGTTCCGGAGAGGGTCTTGGCCTCGACAGGGAAGGAGTGTTTTGGAAGAGGGGAAAGGCGCAAGGAGGCGTTGTGTATTGCTGTTGTTATGGCAACGAGGGGGCGGGACACTTGGCTGCTTCAGCGGCGCAACCGCTGAGAGGGGAGCCGCGACAAACTGACGCGACAATCCGCCCCGGAGCAAGCGGACCCCTAGTGGCCCCCTAAGGAGGCCAACTTCCCAATCCTATTAAGTAAGTGCGTTAATTGGCCGAGGGCAAAAGGCAGTGGGTGGGGCTTGGAACTCCGCAGTGGGGAGGGGAGATGGGCGGGGCTACGCGGAAGTTACTCAAAACGTTAAAGGGACCGCACATCCTCAAAGCCAAAGTATTGTGACTTCAAAAGAAACATGCTCTGAAGCTGAACGGGGATGAGGAGCAAGAAATACCAAGGTATGCGGTCTGGTTTCTACCCCCACCCCAGCCTTGCACTTAGCTGACCTTTGGAAGGTGACTTGGTGGAGTGGAAGGAGCCCAGGCCAATGCATCTTAAGACCTGGGTTGGAGGCTTGGCAGATCTGCAGTGTACTAGCAACTTACCTGAGACTCTACTTTCTCCTCTGTAAAATAGGCTTAGCTACACCAACTGGGGTAGGGGTTCGAGTATGTGTGTAATCTATGCTAATACACTGTAGATTGCTAAACCCGTTTGGAACATTTCCCTTTTCCTCATATCCTGGACTGGTTTGATGCAAACCTTTTCGGGGCTAGTAAGGAAGAAAATCCAACAAGTGCCCACTGAAAATACTCCTCATCCAACGTTGTTAGGTAGACAACAAGACCTGATCGAGCCATACCCAGGCACTCAGGTCTGTGTGACTTGCAGAAGGAGATGAAAAAGAACTTAAGATTCAACAAGTATTTCCGGAGAGTTTGTGCCAGATACTGTGTGAGATGCCTTCACAAGTGATTTAATGTTCACACCAGTCCTGTGAGATAGATATTTGAAAGAAGAGGAAATTAAGGCTCAGGGCGGTTAATATTTATGACACAATTCCTGCCAGGAGAAAGAGAGACAGTACCAAATCTTATGGGATCTTGTATAAATAAAACAGGCAACAAGGTAAGATATCATGATTAATTGTGAAATTGTGTGTTACAGACTTTATATAACATTCAGAGTGATCCGATGGAAGATGTGGTGGGCTGGAAATCAGGACCTGTTACCTCCTGCCCTGTCCAGCTTGGATAATACAGTTAATAGACAAATCTGGTCGCTTGATGTCATGGAACTAGCAGGGGTTGCAGAGGCAGAGACACCAGGTTCAAAACCCACTCTACCGTTCAATCGCTATGTGTTCCTCGGCAGGTTATATAATTTTACTGAGGTTTAATTTTCACATTTGTGAAATGGGGATAAAGACATCCATTTCCATAAGGATCCTTAGAAGGTTAAAAGAGACAATGTGGGTAAATTGCCTTGCACTTAGTTGACCTCCAGTCAGGATCTCCCTGCCCCTCCCCACCTCTTGCCTGTTTCCCCGGTCCTGGGATTGCCATGAGGAATAAGAAAGGAAATGTGAAGGTTAGAAATGGGAGGCAAATGAACCAGACTGTATTGTTGGAGTGGGAAGGGAAAAGTCCAGGTGGTTTGATGTAACCAGAGGGAAAGGCTGTGATTTTCCTTGGCCCAGAAGAAAGAAGAAGACATATTAGGTGGGAAGAAAAGACATGACAGAAGGATTAGGGAAGTATCATTGAGCCTACTTTTATTAAGGACTTACTCTGTGCCAGGCTGTAAGTACTGGGCACTCAAGAACAGTAAAACAGTTCCTATCATCTGGAGCCTCACAATCCACTGACAGGGTTAAGTAAACGAGTAATTCAATATGAGACAGATGTTATAATAATGATACCTGACACTTGCCGAGCTTTTACTGAGTGTCAGGGGATAATTTTATAATACACGTATCTAGATAATATCATATATTCAGGGCAGAGATTCCAAACAGAGGAAGCACCGTTGGTAAGGTCTGGAGGAGAGAGAGCCCAATCGGTACCTGTGCAAAGAAAATAGATAGTTCGGGGTGCCTGAGTGTCTCAGTGGGTTAAGCAGCTGACTCTTGATTTCGACTCAGGTCGTGATCTCAGGGTCGTGGGATCGAGCCCCGTGTAGGGCTCCACACTCAGTGTGGAGTTTCCTTGTCCCTCTCCCTCTGCTCCTCCCCCTGTTCTCTCTTTCTCAAATAAATAAATAAATAAAATGTAAAAAAAAAAAAGAAAGAAAGAAAGTAGGTAGTTCTGCTGGATGGAACAGTAGGTGCACTTAGGGGAATGAGGTAGGAGCTGCAAACAGAGCTAATCACACTAAGGGATCTGGACTTTATCCTAAAAACTGGGAGGAACCATTAGAGGTTTTATTTTGTGTTTCGTTGACAAGCACTGAATCTACCCTGTGTAATGATAGCTAGATACTCCATGTCCTCTCTGATGACAACCTTCCCTCTAGAATAGTCTAGATAGAATCTCCTGGAATTATAAAAGTAATATTTAATTAAACTTAAAATGCAATAGAGAAGTGTATATAGAGAAACATACAAGTTCATGAAGTCTCTCAGCATCACTCTCATTTATGAACAAAGATATAGATTTTTGGGCGCCTGCGTGGCCCAGTCAATTAAGCATCTGCCTTTGGCTCAGGTCATGATCCCATTGAGCCCCACATGGGGCTCCCTGCTCAGTGGGGAGCCTGCTTCTCCCTTTCCTGCTCCCCCTGCTTGTGCTCTCTCCCTCACCCTGTCAAATAAATAAATAAAATAAAATAAATTTTAAAAAGATATAGGTTTTTATTTTTTATTTTATTTTATTTTTTTAAAACTTTTATCCATTTATTTGACAGAGACAGACCGCGCAAGCAGGGGGGAGTGGCAGGCAAAGGGACAGGGAAAAGCAGGAAGCCGGATGTGGGACTCCATCCCAAGACCCTGGGACCGCGACCTGAGCTGAATGCAGATGCTTAACGGACTGAGCCACCCAGGCGCCCCAAGGTATAGATTTTTTAAAAACAAAAATGCTGGAGTGCTTCTCCCTCTCCCATTCCCCCCCCGCCTGTGTTCCCTCTCTCGCAGTGTCTCTCTCTGTCAAATAAATAAATAAAAATCTAAAATAAAACACACAAAAAACCCCCCAAAATGCTGTCAATCATACACACTTCAACAACTGGATTATTTTCATGTAATAATATGTCTTGGACATCTTTTATATCACTAAACATAGACCTACCTCTTTCTTTTTGATAGTTGTCTAGCCTTCCATTATATGGCTATATGGTAATTTTTAACTGTTTCCTATTGATGGATATTATCTTTAAAAAAATTGTCAACATTGGGGCACCTGGCTGGCTCAGTCAGTAAAGCATGAGACTCTTGATTGGGGTTGTGAGTTCGAGCCCCACATTGGGTGTAGAGTTTACTTTGAAAAAATCGTTTCAAATCGTTTTTCATGTTCCTGCAAAGTCATTAATTTTTTAATTGATTTTTAGGAGCTCTTTATTAAAGATTTGGAAATTAACTGTGGCAAAAACTGCCAGTTGCCTACCTGATATTCAGTCTACCCTTCTTCCTTACTAACGGAACTGTTTTTGAAAATGTGTTATTTGATTTTATTTTTCTAAAAGATTTTATTTACCTCTGCTCCTGGCAACCACTAATTTACTCCCTGTCTCTATAGATTTGCCTAGTTTGCACATTTTATATAAATGAAATCATATAACACGTGGCCCTTTGTGACTACCTTCTTTCACCTTAGCATCGTATTTTCTTTTTTTTTTTTAAGATTTTATTTATTTATTTGACAGTGAGAGAGGGAACACAAGCACGGGGGGCGGGGGTGCGGGAGAGGGAGAAGCAGGCTTCCCGCTGAGCAGGGAGCCTGATGTGGGGTTTGATGTGGGGTTTGATGTGGGGTTCGATGTGGGGCTTGATCCCAGGACCCTGGGATCATGACCTGAGCTGAAGGCAGACACTTAACAACTGAGCCACCCAGGCGCCCCGCCTTAGCATCATATTTTCAAGGTTCATCTATATTGTAGCATCTGTCAGTACTTTGTCCCTTTTGGTTGCTGAGCAATGTTCCATTGTATGGTTTATGCCGCATTTTTTTTTATTCATCAGTTGATGGATATTTGGGTTGTTTCCATTTTTTGGCTATTATGAGTAACGCTGCTGTGAACATTCATGTACAAATTTTTGTGTGGCCATATGTTTTCATTTCTCTTGCTTACATACGCAATTAATATCAATACAAAAATAATACTCTTAGTATCAAAATATTGAATTCTTGGGGCACCTGGGTGGCTCAGTCGTTAAACGTCTGCCTTTGGCTCAGGTCATGATCCCACGGTCCTGGGATCGAGCCCTGCATCGGGCTCCCTGCTCCATGGGGAGTCTGCTTCTCCCTCTCCCACTCCCCCTGCTTATGTTCCCTCTCTTGCTGTGTCTCTCTCTGTCAAATAGATAAATAAA